AGAAAAACAAAACAAAACAACAGCAAACAAAACCCCAAGAAGAAATAAGAGTCCTGCAGTAATTGTGGAAGAGCTAGCTGCTTTGGGCCAATTCTCTTGCAAATAACGACCATAATTCCATTCCAAATATAAAAAGGAACTAATTGACTACCCTGGAAACAACCAAAAGGAAGCAGAAAGGGAGAGGGGATTGGCACTTGGCAGAAGAGAAGAAGAGCACTACAGAAACTTTCCATGTTAATGGCTTTTAGCCTGAGGCCAGGCAAGCCCACAGATCCCCGGGAGAGCTGACTAAATCTTGGGTAGAGACCCACAGCCTTAGAAGCTTGAAGAATCAAAGACAGGGTTTGAGGCAACCACAATGGATATTAAAAAGGAGGTAGTTACACATTGAATGGTGTCCCCCCAACATTCATCTGCTAAAGTCCCAACCCCCAGCACCTCAGGATGTGACCTTACTTGGAAGTAAGGTCATGCAGACAAACTTAGTTAAGATGAGACCATACTGGCTAGAGTGGTCCCTAATCGAATATGATGAATTGTCCTTTGGGGAAACTTAGACACGGCCATGCACACAGGGAGAATGACATGTGAAGACTAGAAAGTAACTGCAAGAACACATGTTCAAATGTTTCTAAACATCAAAACCAAATTTTTAAAGTGCAAAGAAAAGAGACTATGTAGAGAAAGATACATATTAGGTAAACCAAAACACAGTAAATGTAACATTAAAATAGCTATTGAACCAAACATGTCACTCATTTCAATACATGTAAATGAAAACTCATGTATTAAAAGGAAAAGACCTGCAGGTTGACCCATAAAGCAAAACCCAACTCCATGCTGCATTTAGGAGATATACCTAAATCAAACTGATTCAGAATGGCTGGTAAAAGTCAAGAGATATCAAACTATAGGGCAGACAAACAAAAAAGAAAGCAGAGGCTGTGCTAATGAGATCAGAAAATGCTGAATTTGGACAAAAAGTAACACAACAAAATATTTGATAATGCCATGAGCCACAATTCACAAAGATAACATATCAGTTATGAATATATATGACACAACACAGCAACTACCTTTATAAATCAGAAAGATAAGGATATACAGGGAGAAATATACAAAACTACACTAAAATTAGTAGACATATATTTCAGTCCAACATAAGACACAGGTCAAGTGGACAAAAAATAAGAAAGAAAACAGAAAATATAACCAGCATAATCAATGCATAGAATATATATATTTTTGGTAACAAAGCCCCACTTCAAGAACATGTCAGGTGCTTTTGCTTTTCTGTCTCAGGGGATTCTGCAATCCACTGAAACTTGCTAGTATGGATTGAATGTCCGTATTCCCCGTAAGATTCTATGTTGAAGCTGTAACTCCCAGCGTGACAGTATTTACAGACGGAACCTTCGAGAAGTAATTAGGTTTAGATGAGGTCACGAGGATGGAACTTTCATGATAGAATTAGGGCCCTTATAAGAAGAGACACTAAAGAGCTTGCTTACTCCCTCTGCAGTGTGAGGACACATTAGCTTTCAGCAGGCAAGAGAGTCAACAATCTTGTAGCTATATTTATAGAGATTATGTAGTCTGAAGAACAGAGAGAAAAAAGGATGAAGAAAAATACACAGAGCCTCACGGAAATGTGAGACATATTAATCACACCAACATATGCACAATGAGGAGGCGAGAGAGAGAAAGGAGGAGAAATAATGGCTGGAAAGTTCCCAAGTTTAGTAAAAAATCCAAGAAGCTCAGTCAGCTTTAAGTAAAATAAACACAAATGTTGGAGATGTAGATTGACAGCAACAAGATGGAGGGATCGGAGTTTCCAGCACTTGTTCCCTCACAAAAACATCCATTTGTAATAACTATCCATGCATAAAAATAACTTCCTAACAGCTAGGAATTCAGATGAGGGATTAGAGCACCTGGGTGGAGCACAGATCTAAGAAAAGAGACACAGAACAGAGTAGGGCAGTTTTACATTACCCATGACACCCTTCCCCAAGCACAGGCAGTGCAGCATGGAAAGAGATACCCTCTATGTGGAGGAAAAAGAGTGAAATGAGCACCCATATCTGATATAGACCCTAGCACCAGGACCATCCCAGTGAGCCCTGGTGGCAGATCAGTCCCTATGGCCCTGGCTCCAGGCCTACCCTAGTGCTATGCTGGCACCCAGGTAAGCACTTTCCCTAGTGCCGGACCAGCCCCCATGACCCCACACTCCAGATCGGCCCCACTGGACCCAGGCTTCAGACCCACTCTGTACCAGCTGACACCCACAGTCTCAGGCTCAAGGTCTGCCTCAATGCCAGGCTGGGCCCCAGTGGAATCAGGTCTCAAGCCAGCCTCCACAAAGGCATCAGGCCTGCCCTTGCAGACCCAGGATCCAGGTATGCACACATAGACCCTGGCTCCAGACCTGCTCTTGCAAACTCAGGCACCAGGCCTGGCCATGCAGATCTAATACCTAGGTGTGCCTCAGTGGACTGAGGTACCAGGCCCACCCACCCACTGGCCCAGGCATCATGAAAGCTCTGCTGAGGGTTCTAGCAGCAAGCCCACTAAATGACCTGCCCAGAATCGCTCAGTGGGCTGACTGTTAAAGTGCTTTACCTGCTGAAGCCAGTCTGTAAAGACTTGAAGAGATGCCTACTTCTTCAAATGTGCAAATACCAACTCAGACCACAAGAATCACAAATAATCAGGGAAACATGACACCACCAAAGGGACAAAATTAAGCACCAGTAATGACCTTAAAGAAATCAAGCTCTACAATCAGAGTAACTGGGGTATCTAATGGAGGCTGGGAAGGGTAGTGGGAAAGAGGGGGCTAAATTGGGAACGGTTAATGGGTATAAAAATACAGTTAAATAGAAGGAATAAGATCTAGTGTTTGGTAGCACAGTAGGTGATAATAGTTAACCATAATTTATTGCATGTTTCAAAATAACTGAAAGAGTACAGTTGGAATTTTCCTTAAAGAAACAATAAATGCTTGAGGTGATAGATACTCCAATTATTCTGAGCTAATCATTCTACACTGTATGTTTGTATTATCACATGCATCCCATAAATATGCACAACTAGTGTGTCTACATAATAATTTAAAATAAAAATTTTTAAAGAAATAACGACAGAAAACTCCCAAATCTGGAGAGGGATACAAACATCAAGATCCATGAAGCTCAAAGAACCTCGAATAGATTAAATATAAAGAGATGTTCACCAAGACAAATTATAGTCAAATTATCAAGTGAAAAACAAAGAAAATTTGGAAACCAAAAGACAAGCAACTCATCACATACAAAGGAGCCACCATAAGACTAACAGCAGACTTCTCAGCAGAAGCCTTGCAGGCAAGGAGAGTGGGATAACATATTCAAAGTGCTAAAGGAGGGAAAACAAACCCTTCAACCAAAAGGACTATATCCAGCAAAGCTGCCCTTCATAAATCAAGGAGAGATTAAGACTTTGCCAGACAAACGAAAGCTGGGGTTATCACCCTGAACCTGCTTTATAAGAAACACTCCATGTAGTTCTTCAAGTTGAGATGAAAGGATGCTAAATAACAACATGAGAATATATGAAAATACAAAACTCACTGTAAAAGTAAGAATATAGTCAAATTCAGAATATTCTAACACTGTAATGGTTGTATGTAAGTCACTTTTAACTCTAGCACTATACATTTAGAAACAAAAGTATTACAAATAACTATAGCTTCAATAATATGTTAATGAATACACAATATATAAAAGATGCAAATGGGACATCAATAACATAAAATGGGGGGGAGGAAATTTTAAAGTATAAAGTTCTTGAATGTGGTTGAACTTAAGTCATTATCAGATTAAAATACACTGATACAACTACAAAATGTCTTATATAAGCCTCAAAGGAACCACAGAGAAAATATCTGTAGCAGATACACAAAAGACAAATACAAAGTAACTAAATCATACCTCATGCCACTACAAAAAATTATCATAAAGGAAGGTGGAGAGAAAGAAAGGAATGAAGGAACTACAAAATAGCAAATAATTAATAAAATAGCAATAGTAAGTCTTTATCAATGATTACTTTAAATATAAATGGATTAAATACTCCAATCAAAAACATAGAGTGGCTTCCTGGATTTAAAAACAAACACAAAAGAGATCCAACAATATGCTGCCTTATTGCTGTCTCCTTAGCTTTGAGAAGACATATAGATTGAAAGAAAAGGAATAGAAAAATATATTTCATGCAAAGTGTAACCAAATGAGAGCAGCTGTGGTGGCTATACACATATGAGAGAAGGTAGATTTCAAGTCAAAAATTGTCACAAGAGACAAAGTCACTACATAATCATAAACAGAAAAATTCATCGAGAATATAATAAATATATTTGCACCCAACACTGGAACACTTAAATATATAAAACAGATACAAACAGAATTACAGGGAGAAATAGATAGCAATACAATAATAGTAGGTTGCTTCAATATTCCACTTTCAACAATTGGATCATCCAGACAAAAACCAATAATGAAACAGTATACTCGAATAACAAGCATAAAGCAAATGGGCCTGACAGACATATACTGAATATCTATTCAGCGGCATCAGAATACACATTCTTTTCAAGCTCACAAGGAACATACTCCAGGATAGGTCACATTTTAGGCCACAAAACAAGTCTTCACAAATTTAAAAAGACTGAACTCATATCAAGCATCTTTTCTAACCACAATGATATGAGGCTAGAAACCAATAATACAAGAAAAGCGAAATTCTACAAATAGGTGGAAATTAAATAACACACTCCTGAACAATAAGTCAAATAATAAATTGAAGGGGAAATTTTTTATTATTTATTTATTTATTTATTTATTTGCCACAGTGAAAGAATTTTATGTTTGAATGCTTTTCTTAAAAAAAGGTCACCATTGAACTAGGGCATGCTCTGCCTCCCCACCCCCATTTTGCTGACGACATTTAAAAAAAAATTTATTGGCAGAAAACAAGGCATTTTCTTCCAATAGAGTGATTATGTTTTATTGCTATTTTGTTTAGTATACATTTTTCTCAATTGGGAAAAAAGTCTAGGTGAAAAAACAAATACCTAACAGGAGAAGTAGTTTACATGGTCACAACATTTAAATTGCTGCCAAAAAATGTAAAAAAAAAAAAAATTAATGTAAAATGTCACATAACTTCAAAAAACTTACCTCAGCTGTCTATCATTTATCATGTACTATAAGTCAACTTCCTAAATAAGATTACAGTCCTTTATTATAAGCCCCTAGTGCTACTACAGTATACATTTTTAAAATGCTACTACAAAAATGTTCTTTTCTTTTTGTTCTTGCTTATTGTGTACTTAGCTATAGATACTTTTTGAATAAAAGGCCTAGGGTAGATATAAATGCAATAGTTAACTGATGCTGTTTGCTGATGTCCTTTTTATTTTCCACAGGTGATATCTTTTAATCCAGCATCTTCTCCTGTTTCTTGCCTTCCATTTTCTTCTTCTTAGATGCCACTTGAGGCTTGGGCTTGGTCAGTTTGCCAAAGGGCTTGGAGATGGTGACCATCTTCTAGCATTCGGCATTGTGCAGGGCTCGCTTCAGACTTCCAGTTCTGGTCTTTAGGGCCGTGTTCAGGTCACACTCTCCCCAGGCCTGGAACTGGTATTTGCACTTCGCTCCAAATTGCTTTTTCCAGTTGCAGGGGATCTGACATCTCTGGGTCTTCATGGTTTGCTTGCACTCGGCTCCAGTCTGAGTGCCCTCCTGCATGCCCAGCCCACAGTCTCCACTGGTGGGCACACACACACTCCACTGCCATTCTCCACAGTCAGACTTCTTCACTTTTTTTTCTGGTTTCTCTTTCTTCCCTGCTTTGGCATTATCCACAGCTGACAGTATGAAAATGAATGCCAAGAAGACAGCTGCAAATTTCGACGCTGCTGCTGGTACTGTTGAGCCTGCATTTTTGAGTTGCAAATGTCCGCTCTGGCGCTCGGGCTGCCTTTGTCGCAAGGGGCGAGGTATCGGCAGCTCGCTGCAGCTCCTGCTTGGCTGGCTGCGGCTCTCCACGCCTTCTGGACGGATGACTCGCTGGTCTCTTTCTTCCCCTCTCTCCACTTTGGATTTTCCTCTGCTCTGGGGCTCTCTTGGCAGGATTTTTGGATTGGAAGGCGGGGAACCTGATCCTGCCTTTGATTCAATTACGCCCCCACCGAAAGGGAAATTTTTAAAATCTTGAAACAAATTAAAATGAAAACACAACATACTAAAACGCAGGGAATGTAACAAAAACAGTTTTAAGAGGAGAGTTTATAGTGATAGCACCTACCTGAATAAAAAAGATGTCAAATAAACCTAACTTTACAGTGCAAAGAACTAGAAAAAGAAGAGCAAACTGAGCTCAAAGTTAGCAGAAAGAAAGAAATAATAAAAATCAAAGGAGAAATAAATGAAATAAACACTAGAACAAGCAACAACAAAAAAAAAAATCAAAGAAACTAATCATTTTTTGAAAAAAAAAAAAAAACAATATGCAAAACTGATAAACTTTAGCTAAATTAACCAAGAAAAAAAATTCAAAGTTATAAATAAAAGAGAAGACATTACAACTGATACTACAGAAAAACAAAGGATCATAAGAGACTACTATAAACAATTAAATGTCAACAAATTGGATAACCTGGAAAATAATAAACTACTATGATTATATAACCTATCAACCATGAATCATGAAGAGAAAATCTAAACTGACCAATAATGAATAAAGATATTGAATAACTAATGAAATGTGTCACATCAAAGTAAAAGCCCAGGACCGGATGGCTTCATGACTGAATTCTACCAAACATTTAAAGAAAAATTAACCAATCCTTTTAAAACTCTTCTTAAAAATAGAAGGGTAGAGAACATGTCTAAACTCATTTTACAAGGTCAGTATTGCCTTGATACCAAAGTTATACAAGGACATTAACAGAAGAGAAAACTGAAGGCCAATATCCTTGATGAACATAAATATAAAAATCCTCAACAAAACACTAGCAAACTAAATTCAATGGCACATTGAAAAGATCATACACCATGATTAAGTGGGGTTTTATCCCTGGAATGCAAGAATGGTTCTACATAAGCAAATCAATAAATGTGACACAGCCCATTAACAGAATGAAATGCAAAGATCATACGATCATCTCAACAGATGCAGAAAAAAAAAAGCCTTTGACAAAATTCAATATCCTTTGATAATCAAAACTCTCAACAAATTAGGTATAGAAGTAATATATCTCAACACAATAAAGGCCACATAAGACAAGCCCATTGCTAACATCATACTCACTGGTGAAAGCTTTTCCTCTAAAATAAAAAATAAGACAAAGATGCTCATTCTTGCCACTTCTATTTAACATAGTAATAGAAGTCCTAGCCAGAGTAATCAAGAAAAAGAAAAGGCATCCAAGTTGAAAAGGAAGAAGTAAAATTGTCTCTTTGCAGATGACATGATGTTATATGTAGAAAACCCTAAAGACTCCACCAAAAAAATAGAACTAATAAACGAATTCAGCAAAGTTATAGATTACAAATTAAATACACAGAAATCAGTATCATTCCTGTACAGAAACAAACTACCCAAAGAAAGAAATTCGGGAAACAATTCCATTTACAGTAGCATCAAAATAAAATGTTTTGTAATGAATTTAACCAAGGATGTGAAAGATCTGCACACTGAACACTATAAACATTGATGTAAACCATGGAGTAAAACACTGATGAAAGAAATGTGTGAAGATACAAATAAATAAAAAGATATTCATGAATTGGAAGAAATAATAATGTTAAAATGTCCATACTACTCAAAACAATCTACAGATTCAATGCTATCAAAGTTTTACAGCATTTTTTACAGAAACAGAAAGTCCTAATATTCGTATGAAACCACAAAGCACCCTGAATAGCCAAAGCAATCTTGAGCAAGAACAAAACTAGAGGAATCCATCCTCCATCCAAAACTGGAGGTAATCATTTCACAATATGTTTTTATGTGTACGAACATCAAATTGTATACTACAAACACATAAAATTTTTATTAGTCAATTATGCTGTGGGAGAAAGTAAAAGATAAAAGTAAATTAATTCTTTATTTTCCCCCACAGCAGAATTTAAAATAAAAGCATCCCATAAATACTGAGATCTGAAGATAAAGAGAACCATTTGAAAGTGACAAGAAAAAATAACTGATTACTTACCAAAGAACCACAACAAGATTAACACATGACTAATCAGCAACAATGGAGGAAGTAGGTGGCATATAAAGTGCGTTAAAAGAAGAAAATAGGATTGAAGGGTGAGACAGACCATTCAACAGTAATATATGGAGGCTTCAGTGTCCCACTTTCAATAATGGATAGGACAACTAGGCAGAAAATTTTTTACAAAAGGAGAAGATGACTTGAACAGCAGTACAAACCATCTAGACCTACTGATCATTTATAAAACATCCCACCTAATAACAATAGAATAAAACGTGGAGACTACTGCTTCCAGTGTAATAAGAAAAAAAAAAAAGCAAAGATAAAACAAAACAAAACAAAAAACTCATACTTATCCCAAAGCCATCAAGAAGTAGATGCAAATAGGCAAGTACAGCAAGCCCTTTACATATGAGTGACGAGCTGTGGACATTTTTATATATAGGGGCCAATGTCTACTTTGGGCATAGGTGAGTAGAGGAGTGGCCTACCTATAGACAAAGAGATTTTTCAGAGAAAAAAAAATCCATTACATACTTAATAATAGTGTGGGCTGACAAGATTAATTGGAATTTGGAAGCGCTCCCATGCAAATATAAATTATTTAGTCCAACAATTAACTCTCCACTCTTAAGAATTTGCTGCAAAAGTAGCAAAGGGGTATCCTGAAGTATCACTGAAGACAAGGCTGAAAACTAGAGAAAGTTTGTGCAGTCTTGAGTGTTCTGATTCTAAAGTCTAGTTGTAGTTGAATCCAAAGGTCAGCTAAAACCAGCTGATGTGGCAACTAATCTCCTTCCAGTTAAATTCTGACAATGTCAAAAGGATGAACCTCTTTAGTGGCAACGATGCAGGAAGCTGGGGTTGGGCTTAACATTAAGATTTCTTTTACACCATTTGAAAACACAGGAAAACTTAACTTAGTTAATACTGTAGCCCAATTCCAGTTTTCACAACTTAGTTGGCACTGGACAAACAACCCATTATCCCATAAACCTGAATGAAAGGAAGGATTTTAAAGTTCTGCTATATAACAAAAAATATTATATAGCAGTATCCACTATCCTTTATACATAATTTTCACCTTACAATACAATATTGAGACATGGGAGCATGCAAAAAAAAATGTGATACATAAGAGAAAGAAATCATCAATAGGAGACCCACGAGATGACCTAGACAGAGGAATCAGCACACTTATGACTTTACAAAAACTACTATCGATATCGTTAGGAATTTACAAGGAATGAATAGGTAAAGAGATGAGAAATACAATATATGAAATGAAAAATTCATTGCGTACCCTTAACATCATACTGGGCACCACAGAAAAAAAAGTTCAGTGAAATTTGAACACGGGTCATAAAATTTTTGCAAACTGAAGCACAAAAAGAAAAAGACTGAGAGTTATTAGAAACCATTCTTAGCATCTCTTTTGTCACGTCTGGCTGTGGAAAAGGATTGGGTAAGGAACAAACCAAGTGTCACTACAAGGTCCTATACATGACAGCCTGCAAGGCGTCTATCTGCAAGCCTCCTATCTGGCACCTTGCTTGGTGTGGTGGTGTCAAGAGCATTTCTGGCCTCATCTATGAGGAGATCCAGGGTATTCTGAAGGTGTTCCTGGAGAATGTGATTCAGGATGATGTCATACCAAGAATGCCAAGTGCAAGATGTAACAGCCATGGGTGCAGTCTATGTGTTAAGTGGCGGGGTGCACCCTTATGGCTTTGGTGGCTAAGAATCAAGGTTGAGATTTTGAAAATACTTTTGAATTTTGCTGAAAATCCAGATGTGCTAAAAAAGAAAAAACTTCTCAGTACCCAAGTGTGTACATATTTAATTCTCTCTACAATTCTTACGTGGAATCAGAATTTTTTATCGATGCCCTTACTGTATTTGAGATCATTTATGACCATCTCAGAGCAAAAGCGTTCAACTACAGAGAATTCAATAAAGGTTCCCTTTTTAAATGTATGCATTATGTTTGGAGTGTGTGTTAAGAAAATTAGAGCCTTAGCAAATCACCATGAACCTCTCAGAGAAAGTGAAAGTTATAAAACTAGTGAACAAATTCTGATTGGTGCTCTCAAAAGACTTCAAGAAATTTCTTGGTTATGCAGCTGGAGGCACTGAAAATTGAAAGTTACTGCTTTTCCACTTACTCATATAATAAAGGGATCCTTTCAGCTGCTAGTTCTGAATAATGTATCAACCAGATGATGTTATCTGTGACAGTCACCTGCTTCAAGCTGAACCATTTTATGAATATCAAATAAATAGTCCTCTTGTGCTGAACTGAAACACATCTGTGATTTTAATCATGCTGCTTGAATTGAAATATTTTTTACTGGTTCCTCTGTGAATTGACAGTGAACCTGTCTACTATAAATGGCCTACTCTTGTTATTTGTTTTGACTTCAATTTAACCAACAAAAGCTTCATTTCTGTATCATCAAAAAGGTTGTATGTTTCAGCTGAAAAAGAGAGAGAGACTGATATAAAAATGCTTAAAGAAGTACTGACCTGTGGGACAATGTGAAGTGATCTAATATATATAATTGAAGTCCCTGAAGAATAGGAGAAAGAGAATGGAGAAGAAAAAATACTTTAAAATTAATGGCCAACATCTTTCCAATTTGAAGGTGAGCAAACCCAAAGTACCACTAAGCTCAGGAAACCCCAAGCAAGATGAACAAAAAGAAAACTATGGTGAGGCACATATCTAATTGTCA